TTTGCAGCCTGCTGGGTGACAGACTGTCAGTTGTAAAGATTTATTTAAAGATTTAAAGATTTATTTTTTTCAGACATGCACCTTGTTTGATAATTGTGATGGCAATTAATCATTAATCTTTTGTGACATTGTTGCAGCAAAAGTCCCTCTAAAGTGGATGTACAAGCATTTCTCTAACACTTCCTACACGGCATGAGTCGGATACTAATGGTTCAGTCCTTCACTTGCTGAACAAAAAATACAAATCAAAGATTGTCACTCTACCATTGGGTTTTTTCCTCCCTAACATTTCCTCAAAAAGCTATGAAGTACATCCACTCAACTGACACAATGTTTTATAAGTTCACTTTACCTGATACGAGAAGAAGCAGCTTCACATGTTGACATGACAGAAGCTAGCGTTGACCACTGTGAATTATGCCGAGCATTTATGAAGAAATGATTACACGGCTCTTTTGAATATGTGGTCTGCTGTTTTTGAATAGCAGGCTGCTTCTATAAAGGACAAACTGATGGTTTGGACTTAGATTAGATCAGTGACTCTGGAGGATAAAGCAAACATCAGCCAACTAGCTATGGTAAAAAAAAACGGGGCTAAAACATTGTGATGTAGGACTTGTCTTACCATGACAGTATTCTATTTCTATAACAATGCTCACTTTACATCATATCTTTCTGCTGCTCAGCCTTTTGAGTTTTACTCCCTTAAACAGATTTGTGCTAGAAAAAATATGGAGCAGGAAGAAGTTGAATGTCATGCTAGATGTGTCGCTGCACCAGCATTAAGAAGATTTCATCATGTGATCGATTCCTTTGCTCACAGATTTTTACTCCAAAGTTTAAGATCTTTAAGGCACTGACATTTTGCCATGTGGTTGACACGAGAACTAATACTTGATAGCATGAATATGTGTTGTTCAGTGTCCGACTTGCTCTGCACACCAGCTGACAGCATTTTGCGTCTCCATGGCAATCCAGGGTGTCGGTGCATGCCAGAACCACCAGCGTGGCAACCACCAGATACAGTCAGACACTGTGGCCGACTGGAACTGATATACTGCGACACCATCTTCCCCCAACACACTATCTCTCTCTCTTTCTCCTCATCTCATCCCTCTTCATCTCTTCATTTCCTCACTCTGTCTTTTTGTGCTGTCGTCACTTAAGGGGAAATCCTACAGAGATCATTTGTGGACGTATACTGACATAGATGATCACGTGTGAAATTTCTGAGAAGTCTTTTCTCAGATGCTTTAATTAAACATGTTCCCATACAACCACTGTTAGAAGTCCTTGTTTTTAGTGCAATAAAGAGTAATAATGCGGGTTAGAATCGTGCTCCTACCATGTCACGGGGCATGGGTTTTTAGGTACATGTAGGTGATCCTAAAGTCCCTTTACATGCTCCATTTTAACAGGTTTTGGACTCATTTTGTCTTCTCTGTCTTTGCAGGTGTCTCTGTGACGTCGAGCAACACAGGGGTGCCAGATATTTCAGGGTCTGTTTACACAAAGACGCAGGTAATTACAGATCAGAAATGTTAACTGAATTACTGAATATCAAGCAATAGCTCATGGAGGGTGCCGAGACATCCCTGCATTCAGACACATTGTTCTAAAATGAGATGTCTGTTTTACTAGGACAGAGCCTGACCAAACACAGGAAGAATTGGTGAAAAATGACACGTCTGTTCTTTGTCTCGCTTGTTCCCACAGTCGTTTGATAAGCAGGGTTTCCATGCTGGCACACCAGCAGGTTCATTCAGCCTGCCATCGGCTCTGGGGAGTGGAGGACCAATCAACCCACCTGCTGCGGCTGGCTACGCCCCGGGCCCCTTCATGCACATCCTCGCACCGCACCAACAGCCCCACTCTCAGATTCTGCACCACCACCTGCAGCAGGACGGACAGGTAGTGTGCATGCTCTGGTTGTTGTTTGTCTCCTTCAGTCGGTGCAGGGTGTCATTTCTGAGTTCAGTTCAGTTGGTCCAGTTTGCACAGTTCAGATTCCTGTGAACTAGTAACTGGAAAAACTCCAAACTTTCAGCTGTGATGCATGAAAGTTGCGATGCAGGCTCTGATTGAGAATTTTCAATAGCAGGAGACGTTCCATCGTTGCCTGAGATCTTTAAGGATCCAAGTATAATGCCCACCAAGCATTGCTAACATGAAAATTAAACATGAATTTTATTTAATGAAGATCTAGTATAATTGGTGATGAATGCTTTGATTTAAGGTGTGAGTAGATATGTGTAGTTGCCAATGTCAAAAGTAAATCCTTTCAGCACTTCTGTAATTGCATTAAAATCTGTCACTGAGCTACACAATGAGTAAACGCGTCATGAATGACCAGCTCACATTGCTCTCTGTCCTGTCTCGCAGAGCGGCACTGGACAGCGCAGCCAGAATGCCTCCATTCAACAGAAGTCTCAGATCAACAAGTCAGCATACAACAGCTACAACTGGGGGGCAAACTAACATCTGCTGTCGGGCCCCACCAACCCCACCCACAACGTTAACAGAAGCAAAGAAGGGGGCTCGTCACTCCTTCTGCAAACAGTCTCCACTTATAAACCCCCTCTTCCTCCTGCAGAGATTCCCTACCCAGTCTCTTAGCCCAGCACTCCTGCAGCTCTGACTGCGGTCAGAGGAAGTGCTGTGCCCAGAGATCCAGCACTGTAATGATGCATGGATGTTTGGGGGGGGGGGTCTTAGAAAGGAGGGGAGACAGGAGTATAATGGTTATAGAAACACACCGAAAAGAGGTGATATATTGAGTGTTGGGAATTTGTATCGTGTTAACAACCCCACCCCAACCCCTTATTTTCTTTCACTTGTATGTAACATAGAACTGTTTTCTAAAAGAATGAACGTTTCCTGTATGGTTGCTCTTTTTCTGTCTCTCCCCCTTTTTGTTCTTGCTGATGGGGAGGAATGAAGTACTATCTGAAGGTGGGGGGACAGGCTGGTTTTGTATTTCTCACCCTCAGCTCCCCATTCCTTAATTTTGGAGGTAGCTCTTCCCTCCGACACAAAATACCCAAACACAATAATTAGCTTAATTGCCGTTTTTTGTTTCTTTTCATTTTTATGTCATTTTAAGTTTTGAAGAAACAATTCTCTAAAATAGGTAGAATTGTGAAGTTTATTTTTTACCAAATATATATATAAAGACATATAAGTGAGCTCACTGGCTTTGACTGTGAGGAAAGTGTGTTTGTCATGTGACTGCGTGCATGTTTGTACACACGGGGGCCGCGGGTTGTGTACTGTGCTTTGTTTTCTTCCTAGCACAGGGTTTTTCATTATCCAACGTATGTACAGTAACTGTTCCCATGAATTATAAATATGTTGCATCAAGGTCCCACCCATTCTGCAAGAGATGTTGAGAATGATTTCTAAGGCCAATACACACCCAGTCTGCCTTCCAGTGTGTTTTATTTTTGTTTGTTTCTGAGGCCCCCCCACCTCCTCCCCGCTCCACCACCTGTCCCCTATTGTAAGGAAACCTGCAACATTGAAATACTGATGGACAGAATTGTACTTTGGTTTTTTTTGTCAGTGATTTATTTTTCTTTTTGTACTGTGCGTTTTAAAAAAATTTAAATGGATAAACTTGTCTTGTACATATATAAAAAAAAACACAAGTACTGTAGTCCCTGTTTGTTCGATGGCTTTCTCCTTTTCCTGCTCAAATCCTTGCAGAGTTGTTAGCTTTTTGTTTCAAATATTTTTATTTTGTAAAAATCTATAAATATTAAGTAAATAAACAAAAAAAAGACATTTTTCATCATTTTGGATGTGAATGTCTTTTAAGAAACTATTTGTTTCTCATGTGGCTTTTAAGTGTGTGGCGTGTGTGTGTGGCGTGTGTGTGTGTGTGTGTGTGTGTGTCACATTGTTTGTAGTTTACAAGACGTGCATCTAAATACCTACTTTTATTGACTTGACTGTTAGGTGCGACCAGGTAAGTATCTATTTTCTTTTAATGTGGACGTTTTGACTGCCTAATGTAGCCTTTATCTTCACACTCACGGCAGTTCCTAAGACTGCTAATATGTCTGTGTAACGCGTTTAGTTATGCAGAAAAACCTCTAATTTATCCAAGGAAGGAAGCACTGTTGGCAAATCAGGTACGTTAACTAAATTCTAATTATTTATTGTTTTATCCTTTATGCAACTTTTCAGAGGTAGAATTAACTGAAATACCCCAGAAGATTTAACAAACATTAACCAACTTTATTCTAGATAAATATAATTATTATAAATATTGAATACAGAGCAATTAAAGTGTTTTCATTTGTATTCTATTAAGCATTAACTGTAACCTTCAGTAAAGTATCCTGTTGCCTTGGTGACCGGTGACGTCATGATGCGTGTTAGAATGTCTCGCTTTGAAGGAACGTCAAGAGAGTTGTTGTTCAATGGAACGCCGTTGCTAAGGAACTGCTGTCTACTTTACTTCCTTTTTGTTTTAGATACAAGCAGGAACGACATCGATACTGTCCAATACTAAAAGTTCTTTATTATTGAACTGGTTTTAACGTATAATAGGGAATTCAATCGCTTACTATGATCACGTTTTGTTTGTTTAATGTTTGACGGCAAAGTAAATCAAGACAAGATAATCCTTTATTTAACCCACAACGGGGAAATTTACAGTGTTACAGCAGCAAAGAGCAAAGATTGCAAACAGAAAGTGAACATAATACAATTTAAATAAAAAAAGAGAAAAATTAAGAATGTACAAAAAAATAGATACTAAAAATAGATTTTAAAAAATGAAAGATAAAAAAATAGATCAGAAAATGTGATGTTCAAACCACAGTTGCCTATCAAATGTTGTTTAAATGTACTTTTTTTTTAACTGGAGGTAATAGCCCAGCTGTATTTTATTTGTCTATGTCTCTCTGTGTTTTAATTACAGTGCACTGGTATTTTATTTTTGCGCGTACACTCTGATATTTACGGTAACTAGCATGACGACGTATGGCGTCATTCTGAAGTTACTAGAACGCTTTACGACACTGTTGACATTCGTTTGGTCCAGTGCGTATCTGCCTCAGGAGTTGTTTTCGCTATGGTTTAGTTTTTGGCAATAACCTGTTAATTAATTAAATGAGTGTTTTTGATTTATTTCGCGGGTTCTTCGGGGTACCTGGAGGCCATTATCGCGGCCGACGGTAAGTTTAAAGAGTCATGAAGCTTCACATGTTTCACTCGGCTAAGCTAACAGAAGTTTGTAGCTGCTTGTACTCTGTTTGGTTAGTTAAACAGCTTTGGTTAGAAGATTAGAGTTTTCTGTGCCAGGATGACCACATGGGGCCCCTCACCTACAGTAGTTACTGCTCTATTTAGGCTGAGGGTGACCTTTAGAGTAATACGATTGTGTACTTCGAAGTCTATTAATGTAACAGCTGAACTGCTGGTTAACCCAAAGAAAGATGTAAAGGTGCTTCTTTATGACTAATCAAATATTTACTGTTTTTGTGTCAGGGACCCCTTCTTCGATACACTGACTCATGATGAAGATGAAGATGATGATGAAGAGGACGGATTCTACTCTGACGGGTTCCGAGGGGACCAGCAGGACCCCTTTGATGGGGACTGGAGGTTTGGCTTCAGCTTTGGTCCAGACGGGATGAGGATCCAGGAGCCTCCAGTCTTTGGCCACGTCCTCAGGGAGATGGAGGAGATCTTCTCCCAGCTGGGCCGGATGGATGAGCAGTCAGAGTCAAGACACTTTGGTATGAAAACTAAGCCCTGATCCAGAACTTTATCACCTCTTTGCTAGACCTACACATGTGTATCTTCTGTTGTAGGTGTTCCTATGCTGCCACCACCTCAGGATGGAGAAAAGAGGGGTGAAGGGGGGTCCAGTGGTAACCCCCTGAGAGACTTTATGCTCAAATGTCCTGAAAGCAATACACAGGGACCCAGACCAGGGCCACCCAGAGAGCCCAGGAATGACAGCCACCGTTCTTATGAGTCACCAGAGCTTCCTGGCTGGACTCCTTTTGCAAAGGTGAACGTCCTTTTTTGTTTTTCTTCTCTGCAGCAACATTGCTGTTGATTATTCCTCTGTAACCAATGATTGTTCATGTGTCACAACTGTGTCGTGTTTATTGACAGTTCAATGATTTTTGGAAACAAGGGCCACGGAAAGCTCCAGATGAGCGGAAAGAAGATAGAGGTCAGTTGCATTTTTAATCACTAAGTTAGAGAAATAAAGGATGTGATATTTGCCCAATGTCCCAACTTATTCACCTCTCCCCCAGATCTGGACTCTGCAGTGTCCTCTGGGGGCCTGGATCAGATTCTGACACCACCTGCTGGTCAGACTCCAAACCAACCCAGGAGCAGATCCTTCTTTCAGTCAGTCATGGTCACCAAGGTGTTGAAACCTGACGGGGTGAGAGAAACAGTGAATCCGGATTTATTTATCAATCAAATGTTAAAGATGAACTGAAGATTTTTTGTTGTTTTATTTTAAACACATCTCAAAAGAATTTCAGGAAACAAATAGGCTAAAGGTTAGTGTTATTTTCTGTCAGACCGTTGAGGAGAGGCGGACTGTTAGAGATGGACATGGTAATGAAGAGACCACCGTGACCCGCTCAGGAGGTGTGGGTACCCAGGAGGATGCAGACCATCACACTGTGCCCCTCACACCAGGTCAGCCTGTGTAAAATGACTGATTACTTTTATGCTCATTTTGAGTCTTTAGCCTCATGTTGTTGTTGTTCGATCGAGCTCTAATGCATTCTTGTTTTTATTCCAGGTGGCCAACATCCATTTTCAGACCTGCGTGATGACAACTCGTTATTCTCTAAGTTCTTTCGAGGCTTTAAATAAAATGTGAAGTGGAGTAAAATGTGGAAAAAAAAAAACCCTTCTCTGCTGTTTCAGTCTATGCGTTCTGCTGTAGAGCTTTGAGTTTTTGTAGCCTGTATCTACATTTTTAAACAGAACACTTGCATGACCTTGAGCTGCCAAAAATGAAAGTGTTTGTAAAGGATCTCTGGGCCTGGTAAAAAAAAAGATGACTACTAGATCTGCTACAGACCACGTAGACTAGAAGCTGCCAATTCTGAAGACTGATTCTATTGAACTGAGACACATCAGGGACTGAATAATTCACTGTCAGATATTTTATTTTTGGATTCTTTTTTTTGTAGCAGAAGCCTGTATGGATGTGAGTGTGTGGTATGTCCAATAAAAAGTCCTAATATATTTACAAAACTTGTTTTTGCTCCAGTTGTTTTTGACCACTTTATGAGATACTTTGGGGGGGGGGGGATACTCCTGCAGCTTTTATCTGCTGACTCATAGCATATTTTCTGATTCAGTTTCCTGATTGTGTGACTTTAAAGAGTTTTCTTTTAGCACCAGTCATATCTAAACGCCATTAGCGTAATGTTAAAGCAACATGTTTAGATTTTTTAAGATCAAAATCCACTGCACTGAAAATAGTTATGGAAAGCTGATTATGTGGTAATGGAGTATTTGTGTCTTTTCATTCAATCATGAAAAAGAAGGAGTTACACGCATATCACGTAGGTGCAGGGCAGTGAAAAAAATAGCAAAACTGAGAAGAGGCTTCAAAAACCCAAATTCATCTTCAAGAGATGGAGTCCAGCCATGACGTTGCTAATGCAATAAAAAAATATAAAATAAAATAAAACTTTATCTTAACCTTACCTAGGGCAGGGTGTCTTGTTTGTGTGTTTTTCTGCTTTTTTATTTCTTTGTAGTTGTTGTTTTGATTTTTTAATGCTATTTCTTTCTTCTGTACTGTGCCAAAAATTGAAAAAAAAAATGAAAAAGAAGATAGGCCTGCACACTTGCTCAATTGCCGGAAAAAAATGGGGTTTTATTAATAAAAGAATTGAGTAAGTGTGCGGGCCTATCTTCTTTTTTATTCAATCATCCAATCAATCTTTATTAAAGCTTCTCAAGATATGATATGTTCCTGCAACTGTGCACACCTCAAAGTACAGGCTGTGCATGGGGTTCCCTGTTGGTCGTTACCTCCAGACACTTTACAAAAAGAGTTGATACGTCAACATAACATACATCCAGCATGAACAATACACTTGGCATCACATGGCTTGTACTGTTTTCATGTTTTTACATTCCATCCTGTTTCTGTAAATCTGATGTCAGGCCATCTCCTCCCAGAATAGGATCACAGTTATCAGCTCCTTATTTGTTCAGACGGTTCACCTCCCTGTTTAGTGTATTCAACCCCGACCTGGTTTCTTCTCTTTCTTCAACCCCCCCCCTGCCTGTTCTCCTTCCTCTGGTTTTCACAAACAGCCTCTATGACTGTGTCAGTGTGACCTCCAGCATGTTCGTAGTTCATCAGCTTCAGTAGTTTAGCCTCCTCGGCTTACTTGATAAAGAATGATTGATAATGCTCAACTCCAAATTAAAACATTCTAAAAGCTCTTTCATGGGGTAAATATCAAAAGAGTTGGCGAGGTGTTCCCTCTGAAGTCAGGTGTAGCGCTCGTCTTCAAAGTAAATCTCTAAAGGGAACATTAGCTCCACTCCCCTCCTGAGGACAAATTGGCAAGAACACAAAGGGAGTCTTCGAGACCATTTCAATCACATTCTGTGAAAATATATATTCACAGGGTCTAAAATGTTTAAATCTCACAATCTTCTCACTCTTTAAGGTTGCTGAAAAAAAACTTTCCAAAAGGTCCAGATTGAAACAACATGATAACAAATAAGGAAAAATGTGGGTTTTTAATGTTTGTAAAAAACAGAAAGCACCAAAGGGAATTAGAAAATAAACATCAGGGACATTCATTTTACATTTTTTTTGAAAACAGTGGCCGAGTGGTTAGTGCATGTGCCTCCAGTAAAGAGACCACAGTCTTCCAAGCAGGCTGCCAGGTTCAAATCCAGCCTGTGACTCCCCTCTCTCTCTCTCCCTGCCTCCTGACTGTCTTCCATTCATGCAGATTGTTTCCAAGTTTCTTCATTAAGCAGGTGAGAAACAGTTGATTATGAGTATCAGATACAGCATATTTACTTTTTTATTTTATTTTAAGTAATAATGAAATAACATCTGACCTTGCTTGCTCATTTTCTCTTCATTCACATTTGCCAACCCCCCCCCCCCCCCTTCAGAAGAGGGGCAATCTTTGGAAAACCACAGGCGTTTCAGACTTTAGGGTCACTGTGAGGAGCCTTCATTGTGTATTAATCTTGCCCCCTGATTTAACAATTCTTTATCTCTTCAGTGACATTGATTAGAGGCATCGAAAAAATCTAGATGGAACAATCAATCTCGATGGTCTTTTGTTATACATTTAAAGTCATCAGTACTGATTTACATGTTTCAAAACCGAAGAAAAACTCCTCACGGACTGATCATGTCACACAACCCTGGTCATATAATGCAATAACCTGTCGTTTCATAATATAAAAACTTAACAGGTATCTTTTTTTCACTTAAGAGTTGTGCAATGCTTGACCAATCCTTTTATCTTGTTGTTGGTCATATGTCAGTATTTCTTGGAGTTTCTTTGAGTTCAGAGGAATGCAGCTGTATGTTGCATAATGTAAATCATCTAATCCCATCCAATGTCTGCATGAGCTCATAACAGATTGTACTACAATAAAATATTCTTTGTTTGTCTTACCTAACGCCCATTATGATCATTTTATACCATATGTAATATGCTCTGATGTAATGGTCATACCTAACTGAACTGAATTACATTTCATTTAGGACAACAATTAAAGGTGCACATATAATATATATTTGATATGCATAATATAAAAGGTCAAGTATAAGAATTTGTCTCTCATGATTCTCATTACAAACTGCAGTTATAAATGTTATAAAAGTTATAAAAGCCAAAGCGATTTGTATCTCTTATCAGATTTATTATTCTGTGGAAATGGATGCACGTACAATCTCAGAAGGGACAAGGTGTTCAGGGGCTTTAAAGGCTTTCTGGAAAAAGGAATTGTACATTTTCTTGAACTTTACTTGCATTCTTTCATTGATTTTTTGGCCGGGAATGCCAAGCAAGAGTAAGAGAGACAAAAGTGCCTGCTCATGTTTGCATTGAGAGGAGAAGACATGTGATGATAACCAATCAAACGGAAGGATTAATCAGAGCCAATTCAAACCAGGTGAGGTCACAGACAAACCAAACCAGGCCGGGCAGTGTCAAAACAACCTCTTGTGCAGTGAAGTGCTCCCGAGGTTCAGACATCAACATGTACCAAAAGATAAAACACTCTTCTCTCCTGCACTCAAACACATCTACACTTCCTCAGCCGGGCCATAAAGTGCATGACGTAGACAACTGCTCCAGTATGAAAGGGCAAACTCTGCTCCATAAGGCAGACAGTGCAGTGCTGTGGGGGTCAGAGGATCTGACGGATGACAGCGTCCCGCCTCTGAAAGTTCAGCTTTGGCCCGACGGAGAGGAGAAAACGACGGGAATGGAGAGGCTGCTGAAGAAATGTCAGATCAGAAACAAACTGTTCAGGGAGTGTTTGGCTGAGTGTCTCGGGGTCTACATCTTGATTGTGAGTGCTATGATGCATTTTGAGGAACTTCTTTTTTCTCACACATCAAGAAGCTTTCACACTTTAAAGTTGGTTTACTTGAAGCTGCTTATTCATTTTATGTTTTGCTCTTATTTCAAAGCAGCTAGTGCCTCCACTCAATGGATAACTGAGGACTTTGACCTAAAACGGAGACAGACTGTAGAAATAGAGTTCAAGTGGGAGGGTGAGAGAGGGTCACGGATGGGTGAGGTTAAAATGGGAGGGGTACAAAAAGTGAGGGTCCCGCCCTCATCATTGATTTTGGAATGACCTGTGTTGTTTATCTGTCTGCTGATTGTGTTTGTGTGTTTTGAATCCGTCTCTCTATCTGTCAGGTTAATTATCGTTTACAGCAGAAATCATAAAAGCGGTTCCTGAGCGATGATGGTCGTAAAAAAAAGCTGATTATCTAAAGGTGCTCATACACCTGTGCCAGGACACAACAAACTTTCATATGAATATATATTTTTCATCAGATTTTTTTTTTTTAGAATTTCTCATCTGCAGCCTCATTGAACATTTTTTTAAACTTTTGTTTGTTTTTTTTGTCTGATCGTTTTGGCCAATTTTGTGGGTTTTGTGTTCTGAAATGTTTTGGAAATGTTCTTCCTAAATGTAAGTCTTGTGTTTTTAGACTTGTGGTGGAAACTGTTGTTTTTAATCATTAATATGACTATTATTCATTAATTTGTCTCTGGAGTAAACTTTAAAAAAATTGGAAACTTTCGCCGTATTGTTTGAGATTCCAGTCCCTAAATTGAATTTTTTTCACATCTGGTGCTCAGATTTTTTTGGGGGTGTTTTTGAATGTTCAGCTCATGCAGCTCGTTATTTTCAGCTGTTTGGATGTGGCTCCGTTGCCCAGGTGACCACAACAGAAGAGAAGAAGGGACAGTACCTATCCATAAACCTGGGTTTTGCACTTGGAGTAACATTTGGGATCTTTGTGTCACGTGGAGTTTCAGGTAAGATGAGATTTAATATGACACTGCAGAACAGATTCACACATTAATGTCTGTTTACAGAAAAGTTTGAAATAAATATGTTTTCAGTCGGGGTAGTGTGAAAAAAAGGGACAGTATCATAGTTTATGCTACATAAAGGTAGCATGATCTGACAGTGAAATACTAAATAGTGTTCTCTTTTAACAGAGCTTCTTACTTTATGAAAACTTTAAGAATCATGGCACGAGTGAAGGAATTATTTTAGATCAAAGTTTTTATTTGAGCTTTAATGGTAAGTTGCAAATGAAGACTTTGTAAAATAAGGATAAGAAAGAGATTTGACCTTTCCCTTCCAAAAGCTTTAAACTACTCTTCCTTCTGCCAGAGTTAAAGTGACCAAACCCAAATCCCACTTTTTTTTCTCCACTCCTTGTTATTTTTAAACAGACCCTAAGCAGTGCACAACCCCAGATACGCAAAAGTTATTTTAACATTAAAGTATGTGACGATTTCAGGAGACAACAAACTGTATCATTTGAATTTTAAACCTGAGCCTACATTTGATTCAATCCCTCCTGAGGTGCCCATCTGAACCCGGCGGTGTCTCTGAGTTTGTGTGTTCTGGGGAGACATCCCTGGATGAAGCTGCCTTTCTACATCTTCTTCCAGCTGCTCGGAGCTTTTCTAGCTGCAGCCACAGTTGCACTGCAGTACCATGGTGAGTTTCTAAAAAAAGGATCAGGCTAAGACACGGACTGGGTAAATATTTTTGTTGCAGATTAAATCAAAGAATGGGATTCAGCACTAAGCCCAAAGATTCATATAGAAAATCAGAGCACAGGCATAGAGTCGTTATCTCACAGGATAATGTCCAAAAACAGTTAGTTACTTTATTCATCTAAAAACATCAGTGGATTATTACACGTGTGTATTCACTTCATATTTTTGGCATTAGGATTTTTGTTTTGAAGGATTGATCCATTTTCCATTATTTATCCTGGAGAAGACACATGTCAACCAAAGCCACTTTGTGGATCGTTGTGGGACTTTTTGTTTTTCTTTTAAAAAATGAACCGTCTATGGCACAGGGAAACGGGAATTTTTTTTTTAAAGTGCTTGTATTTGGTGTTTATCTTGGCTCAACTGAGAAATATCACCCTCCTTACTCTTTTTTTTATTTTAAAAGACTGGTATCGGTACATGTTATTTATATGTATTTTTTGTGTGTTTGGTGAGCTGTTTACAGATGCCATCAGGGCGTACGGTGGTGGACAGCTTACAGTCACAGGGCCAACAGCCACAGCGGGCATATTCTCCACCTACCCATCTGACTACCTGAGTGTGTGGGGAGGAGTCGTGGACCAGGTCAGATATCATCACTTCACACTTCATCAGGCTGAATTAAAACCATAAAAAGAAATCAAATCTGTTGTCAATTTGTAGTCACTTTTACTCTGCCTAAATAAAGACACGATGTGGATGTGCAGTCTAGTCCTGTGAAGGCTGTTTCGTCATGAGCTGGGGATTTCTGTCTTTTAATAAGGCAGTTTTTTCTTACCACTGTAACTTTTGCTGCTTTGCTAAAGTGCTCATGATGGATAGGCCGGATCTTTGTAACATAACAATGAGTAAGATCTTTTACCTGCTTTTTGTAACATAACAATAAGTAAGGTCTTTTACCTGCTTTTTGTAAAGTGTCTCGAGATAACACTTGTTAGGAGTTGACGCTATACAAATAAAATTTGATGAAATTGATTGATGATAATACTGCTTTCTGTTGTCCAGGTGATAGGCACCGCTGCCCTCTTGCTGTGTGTCCTGGCACTCGGGGACCAGAGGAACACCTCCCTCCCTGACAGCTTTCAGCCTGTACTGGTGGGTGCAGTGGTGCTGGTTATCGGCATCTCTATGGGCTCCAACAGCGGCTACGCTCTTAACCCAGCCAGGGATTTTGGACCTCGGTTATTCACGTACATCGCCGGCTGGGGAGATGATGTTTTCAGGTTGGTAGGAAGACACGTATCTCTTTCTCCACATGAACACATTTGGCAGAAAGTCTGATTGTGTGTGACACTTGTGTCTCTTCAGGGCTGGAGACGGTTGGTGGTGGGTGCCCATAGTGGCTCCTTGTGTCGGTGCCCTGCTGGGGACTCTGATCTACCAGCTGATGATCGAAGTCCACCATCCCATCCATCAGTCTGAGCTACCCAGTTCATGTCAGGAGGCCACTGAAAGCAAGACGGGCGTGGAGCTGGAGGGGGTGGAGCCAGGCTGTGAAAAACCCACCAAGAACTCCAATTTAGCTTAGTTTAAAAAAGGAAAGATCTGCTGTGTATTCTGACATTAAACAAAATAAAAATAATAACTAAATGTCTTTGTAAATATGTGTGATTGATTTACTGGAACAAATGTTTGTTGGGTAGCATAATCAGAACATATAATAAACAACTAAATCCAGTTTCCACTGCTTCAGTCAACAACTACGAATTGGTGTGAAACTGTTATAATAGTCCCTACAGCAAGATCATAACGGGACCCCTTCACCATTTCTCCAACAGCACCAGCAGAAAAGAGAAGTTATCCTAGTAAAGAAAACATGCAAAAAAATTAACAAGATAGATTGGAATAAATGTTGCACAGAAATTCATAGTCCCCACAAACTGAGCCTGAATGACTCCTGTGCCCTCCTCTCTTCAGCTCCAGGGGGTTTCTATTTGTGGTTTTGGGTTAAATTTCTCACATTGGATAGATGCTTCTGAGGTTTTTGATGGTCCTTATTTTCTGATCAGTTTAAATTAATCTAGTACTTATATACGTACCTTAAATCAGCATCTGAGCATTTTTAGCATTTTGCTGAGTCATACTTTGGTGAATTCATAAACATGGATGCTACAAAGACGACAGCATTGCAGCTGTTTCTGGTATTTGTGATTTTGTCCAAGCCTTCTTGCTATATCTGTGCGTTTAAGGCAGGGTTGTTCATTTTCTCCAGATATACTTTTTAAGATTCTGGTTTAAATGTCTTTAGGTCCTGACAGACATTAATAACTTGTGTTCTGAAAAAGGAACAAAGAAAATCCGTCATCTGTATCAGTTTGTAAGTCTGTAAAAACTCCGACCAATGTCTGCCATGAGGTACCAATCTGATGAACCAATTGCACGCCTCCCTGTCTCCCTGCTCGTTCTCTACTCCATGCATGCACGAGCCCACACTCAGAGAGCATGTAAGTGAGGGGGCGTGGCTTTTGAGGGAGCACAGAGGGGAGGGGGTGGGAGTAGATGAAGCACTGAGGGAATGCTTCTTTCAAAATCATGCTAGTTTTTTTGAAAATTACCAACCCTGCCTTTAATTAAAAACACAATATTTCTTTAAGCCTAATCAATATATATCCACATGTACAGAAACTAACAGTACAACCTAATGCTATCCACAAATGACATGTTGCAGACACTGCTTTGTCACATGTGAATTATAATGAACTTAATTGTTACTCACATCTTCCATTGTTCTCTTTAATATAGTCACTTAGATGATAATTTTCTGAGCTGCTGTTGGGATTGTTTGTTTTGAATGTTTATAAAAAAATGGTACCATGAGGGGTTAATGCAGCCTAAACGATTTTACTCTTCCATTTGAGTCAGACACTGAGTCTGCAATTTTCCTGGACTATTACCTTGACTATTTCTCTACTAAAACTGTGCAATCTGTTGAAAACTGGACAATATTTATACATGAACCGTGCAATATCTATGCTGTTAATCCATCAGTGTATATTCATATTTGTAAATATTGTTTATATTCTCAATTACCTGGGCTTGAACATAGCTTATTACTTATACTACTTTATTATTGATTTTACTTGGTACTTGTTTATTATATTGTTATACTATTTTTATTTTATTTATATTGTGAACTTATCTGTACTTCCTACTGATTTTTGGTGTCATGAGCAACTGTAGCAAACAAATTTCCCCCTGGGATTAATAAAGTATTTCTGATTCTGATTCTGATGATCTGCTGGTAAGACTGTAGGACATTTCCAGTTCATTAAATCTAGTGAAATTCTGTAAACACAGCTCTGCATGCTTCAACGAGTCAGCTGCACGAGTCATCCGTCTCTCTTTTACACATTTATTTTCGAAACAGCACAAAAGTGTATGGCATTTCAGCAAGCAGACCACAACCATGGAAAAGAAAATGACGTGAAATTTTCAACTATTGAGCTATATAAATATGATATCATGACATATAAAAGATACAAACAAACAGAATCCACTCAGACCTCCATCACATGACCTTGAAGGCTGCTTTTTGAAACATAGATAAGAAATGTGAGAACAGCAAGCACTGATTCTGTCGATAAAAAAAGAACCGTCTCAAAGAGATAAAACATTTGTATTCATACACATTAAGACAACACGACCCCCACACTCTGCTGTGTAATTACAATGTATAGCTACCTCTTTGGGGGGGGGGGGGGGTGAACCTTTTTTCTTTTTAACCTCAAATTGTCTGGGGAAAAAAAGGGGAACAGTACAAGTACAAATACTTTACGTATTCACATTATCATAGCAAGATACTAAAACCAGAACGCTTTCCTTTAGTGTCATTATATGTATTTACAAGGCAAGACTCGTACACATTTTACTACTGGCAGGAAACCTGACCTCTCTTCTTCTTCTTCTAGCTTAACGATTAACAACATCACACACTTTTTTTTTCACACACGACACAGGTTACACACCTCCAGTAACCTCCTCTTCTAAAGATTTGCCTTCAGAGATTCTAATCTCACGTCTCTGTTGCAGCCACATTGTCCAAAAAATACCAACAGCAGTGATGTGTTTCGTATAAATAAATATTATAGCAACATAAAAAATCAGTGTCAAATTCTCTACACACTCCCCCTTCATGCTTTAGACGTCTTGTGATATTAGCTCGAGGTCAGTTTTAACCGCCTCTGGAGCTGTTAGAACTGATCTCATGCTGGGAAAAAGTAGGATGGGTTTGAGGCAAATGAGTATGAATATTGAGAAGACGTGAAGTAGAAAAATATCGGCACTACAGCGGTCTGGAGTACGGTGGGTAAGGTGTGTAACATGATAAACAGGCGTAGGCTGCAGGCGTTGCAGAGTGACTGAAGTGAAGGGACAAGACCTTTATGACACAGTATGGCTGATATATAAATGCTTTACTCTGGGAGCGGGGTGGGGGGCGGGGTCATTTTGAGAGCCTTTTCCCTCAAAGAGTCTCTCACAGGTGTGTTCAGTTACATAACATGATCAAACATGCAATAATTAATTGCACAGAGGAGGTGCCATAGATCAAGAGAAACTGTGTGTGGGGGCTAAAAAAAAACTGCGCAGGAAGCACGTGCTTCATCTCAGGATCAACATTCATATTTTTTTCAGCCTCTCGTCTCCCGGCTGAAGATGACCCGTCAGTCTCAGAGGACCCGCCCACCCCTCTACTGAGGCTTGTCCGTTTTGTGTGCGGTGAGGAAGGCCATGCCGTGGGTCCTGAAGTGGGTGTTGAGGTCCGAGGCCTTGTCGAAACGCCGTCCGCACACCTTGCAGCCCAGGTTTCCGTCTCCGTCCTCGCCCTGCGCCCCTGGGGAGCCGGCGGGCGAGCCATCGGGAGAGCTGTGGTGGGCGCGGGGGGTGCCGCGGTCGGCGTCACTCTGGGTGTCGCGGACGCGGTGCGTGATGAATCTGTGTCTGCCGAGAGAGCCGGCCGACGCAAAGCAGACACCGCACTGCAGGCACTGGAAGGAGACGGTGTCGCCGCGATGCTGCGGGATGTGCCGCTGGAACTCCGCCCCGTCCTCCGTGGAGAAGCCGCAGGGGATGCAGCGGAAAATGTTGTCCTCCTCCTCCAGCTCGTTTGGGGCCAATGATGTGGAAGCTACAGACGCCCTGGTTCTCTTAGCGGGACCTGTACCCTCCTCCCCGTCCTCTGTGGCGTTCTCATCTTCTTCTCCTCCTCCTCCCCGGCCTCCAGGAGGTCCCACCTCCCCATCGTGTTCTGAGGAACTGCCTGGTCCTTCTCCACCTGTGGCCGCGCGCTTCCGGGTCATTGGGGGACCCTGAGGACACAGAAAGGGAGAGAGACTGAATATTTTCAGAATAGTTTAAAAACAACGTGTCCAACTTCCACACTTATTAAGGCAGTGGCTGAAACTGAAGCAGGTTTGTGAGCATTGAATATTTCCTCTTATAAATAATAAATAGTAAAATAATAATTTTACTGTTTGGTCTTAAGTTCTGCACTTGTATAGCATCAATGTTTCTGTATTTATTTTAGTCTAATAATTCTGTTTTAATCATAAAGTCCTAGCCAGGGAAGGGCGTTGCAAATTAGCCAAGGCTAGAAACTTTTGTGCGTGGCATCTACTTTGTAATAATATATGAAGCAATGTTTACTGCATGTGTCCCTGTTAAATAAACAAATAAATAAATAAAACAAGATACATATTATGAAGGTCACTATATAACCTAAATACCTAACACTGACCCCACATACAAAACACACTGCTTAAAAAAACAAAGACACAAGCGTAAAAAAGAAACAGAGGCTTGTACATCCCACCTTTTTATCATGTTACATGTATGGATGCATGTAATAATTTTGTTCTTTGGATCTGGGAGGGGGAGGGGCTTGTGGACTTCTTAGTTCAGACTAGTAAAGAGTGGAGCCACACAGTCTTTTGACCTCTCTCTCCACGCCTCTCTCTTTTTGTATAGTTTTGGATTAACCTGTATCTGTTTTTTGTTTATTTTTGTTTAAGTAAACATTTAAACTTTGATCATTTGGTCCTGTGGATTTTTTGGATGAAAATTACGTAAGAGAGGGGTTTTGGGAGAGTCAAGCTACGGCTTCATTCAGTGGATACCTACAATTCCCATAGTATGGGAAACAGTGTTTCCTCTACGTTTATCCATTAGAAGGTGAGACCTGGTCCTTGTTTCAGAACACATCTCAAATAATATTAACTTAATAACTCAACTCAAACTCCCTAGCTTTTCAGAGAAACATAAATTGGTCAATTTGCCTGTGTTCACACGTCCTAAAAAAAAAAAAAAAAAAAAATCTGCTCAGAACAACTGGAGTCAGGAGACAGCTTTAGACAAACGTCTGTAAATACACAGAGAGAAGTGTCTGAACTCACCTGTCCGTCTGTGGTTCTGTGATGGAGCCGGACATGTTTGTCCAGTAAGAACCGACTGCCAAAGGTGCGCTTCCCTTCTGTACAATATCTGAAAAAATGATGCACAACAGAATGCAAGATTGTGTCAGCTCCAGGCCTTATAAACACAGACTGACCATCACAATACACTTCATGTCTGTCTTTATTTATTACACCTTAATTGACCCATCTGTCACATAACTGCATTTTACTTATCATGTTACTTGAGCATCTTTTTCACCATTCACCACTGCACTGTTTCATATTTAGTCATGTAAATATTAGTCTTTTCTTATTATGTTTATTGTTGATATTTAATGTTGTACCTGTTCATAAGAGAGCACAGTTCACCAAAGTTAAATTCCTTGTGTGTGTAAGCATACCTGGACAATAAATCTGATTCTGATTCTGATTTATAAGCCGACTTGTAAGCAGAACCAACAATCTACAATTATCTACTGTGCTGATTTTCTACTTTTACTCTAAAGTGGATTTAGCAATTAAAATGTTTTTGATGTTTAAGCAAAATAAACACACATTAGCTCGAAATCTTAGTTTGACTCACTGGCAGTGGAACACTCTCTTGTTGCCCTCGTGAATGACTCGCTCGTGACGTCTCAGGCTGGAAGACGTGCTGAACGTGCCTCCACAAATACGACAGGGGAACTTTGGACAAACACATAGACAGACAGACACAGAGAGGCAGATAGAGATAAGATTAAAGAGATACGTTTCAGTCTGATGGACACGACAGGCAGGAAATTAACTACAGGCTCCTTTTTTTGTTTGTTCTTTACCGACCACATTGTCAGAAATAGTTTTCCACCTACAACAAAAAACAGATGCTTTGATTCATGTTTGGTGCTGAGAAAATGAAGCGCCCTTTCAGTACTAATCCGATAAAATCAAAAAAGAGAACGTGCGCCTCACCTTGCCGTGCTCCATCTTCACGTGACTCAGGTAGTCATCGTTGTCAGTGAAGGTGGTCTGACACTGCGGGCAGGTCCACTCAGTCTGGGACGGGGGTTGACTGCTGCTCCCCGGGGCCTCATAGTCCTCGTCATCGTCCTCCTCCTCGTCCTCCTCCTCCTCTTCCTCCTCCTGATCCCGGCCCCAGTCCTCTCCATCCGAGTTGTCAGGCTTTCCGGAGGATTTGGATTTGAGGCCTGAGGGGCCGGACGTCGTCGTGGGGGCTGAGGTGGCGTTTGAGGAATCGGTCTGAGAGTCTGTTTGTTTGGCTGAAGGTCCTCTGTGAGCGGTCTGAGAGAGGGGCGTTACAGAACAGGCAGCTATTAGCAAAACCAATCACTCCAACTGGGACACAGAAAGACAACCTAAAAATACAAAATTCATGTGACCAAAATAACATTTGTACTTGGTATAGAACTTAGGACAAGGTCACTAGGGAGGAACCTTGCTAAGGCCGATACAAGAATTTGCTGTATGCCTTTGTTGACGCCACATTCGCCGTGGAAAGCAATGAATGGGCAACACATAAAGGCAAGGGGGCAGGTTCATGATAAGCTTTTATTTTGAAAATACTTGATTGGTATTTAATAATCACAGAACAAACCTTTATATGCTCCATCATAGATCCTTTCTGAGCGTAGAGCTTCGTGCAGTCGGGACACTTAAACACATGCACTTTCTGCTTGGCTAAATGAGTGTCAAAGTGCATGTACAGCAAGGGCTTCTGGGTAAAAACCGTGTCACACATCACACACTTGTAGATCATTCTGCCAGAAATAGAAAAAAACACACACACAAAATTAGGGATGTATCACCAATCATACTATACAAATGTCCAATGTATATTTTGGGTAGAAGTAACTCGTACTTGGCCTGTCCTCCGACGAGTGACGGGTGCAGGGTGCTGATGTGGCTCTGGGCGCTGGGGGAGGATTTGAAGGCCATGGGGCAGCTTGGGCACTTATGGAAAACCTCGCAGTGAGCAGTCTGAATGTGGGACTTGATGGAGTTCAAACCTCCAAACACGACCTGGCAGCTTGAGCACCTTCAAGAAGTTGTCAAACATAGTTTCATGTGTTAAGGCTTAAAAAATAAAGATGTTAAATATTACACGTAGAGCAGTTCATTTCACACACATGAATGATGCTTTAAAGGTGCTTTTTGAGCAGCACTCTTTCATGAAACATTGCAACCCAAAAGTCACATTTTTCAACCAATCAGAGAGAGAGAGAGAGAGATATATATATATATATATATATATATATATATATATATATATATATATATATATATATATATATATGTGTGTGTGTGTGTGTGTGTGTGTGTGTGTGTTAGTGGAAGCTCTATAAACGTAAATTGTAATTATTATTGACATAATAATAGGTCTTATTAAGGAAAGTGTCTCCACACCTGTACCCGATGCGCCTGGCAAAGTGCAGGCAGGCCTCCTCCAGGTGAGTCTGGAAGCTGGCCTGTCTGGCAGTCCCACCACACTCCGGACAGACATGAGGCGCTCTGTGTTTATGGATCCTCTGGTGGGCAGATACGGCACACGAGTTTGGCAGCATCATAGGAGGCGAGCACTGCGTACATGTCTGGAAAAAGAGGGAAATAAAATAAAACAAAGTGCTCATTAATTGCCAGCATTATTTAAAATCAGGAAGCCGTTGCATGAGAGAAACAAAGACTCACAGAGTTAGGAGCAGCTCTGATCTGCTGGAAGTGAGTGACCAGTTCAGCCTTGCTGTTGAATTGTGTTTGGCACTCTGGACATTTGAAGTTGTTGTACTGCAGCCCTTCTGCCTTCTTGCAGGGAAGAGGCATGAGGGCTTGGGGGCCCTGAGGTGCGCGGCGGACCTGTCGAGGCTGAGCTGAGGCAGCGGGAGCTGAAGCGTCTTTCATGGGGCTGGAGTTAGCGGAGGCTGCAGAGCCTCCGGTCGTGGTGGAGGGAGAGGAGACTGGAGGAGAGGAGGACGAAGAGGAGAGCAAGCCTGGTCAGCCCAAGGTGGGAACAGAAGAGACAAATGGGACGTGGTCAATGAAGATGATTCACAAATGAATGATGAAACATGATCAGAGTACGTTTCTTTGAGGGGCTCTCACTGCTTTCTATGCTAATAATAAATGTGTGAATTTTAGATATAAAACAAATCAACACATAATACACTCAACTATTTTGAGTAATATGTTTTAAAGAGAAAAAGATCTGAGACATCACTTTTCAATTATTTCTGGGGGGTTGTGTATTTATGAAAAATTTCAGGATGTTGCCATTGAGAGGCCCCTTCATGAGTAACTGTGTTGGATGTAGTTTCACTGTTCTCTGACCACCTTTCACAACCAAAAAGTGAATTGATGAAATAGTTGACGGATGGCAGCACTTGTATGAACGTTCACTCGATGTTGACCCCAAGGCATCATACATATTCTGCAGAACTTAACTAAGAAAGTCAGAAATTATGATAAATCATAAACATCAGGATGGATCAATATTGATTATATAATAGACAATTCAATTTTAAAGATACAAAGTGAAATGATCCTCATAGTTCTTTTCCATTAAACTTTCTTGAAGAGTTAACTGTTTTGAATTCCATCATATCACTACTTTTATTATTACTGTACTTTTTTATTATTTTGTATTATAAATGTAAGTGAATGTGAAACATGGAAATATACTGAAGCCCTGAATAGAACAGAATCAGAATTGTGACATCAGCAAACATCGTATTGTTGTAATAAGAAATTCATAGATCTCATGCATCTTATCATGAAACTACAACTACAACCCTATTTCTTTCACTTCCTTTATATACTTGTTAATTGAATATCTTTGGTCTTTAGGTCACACAGAACAAGGTTTTTCAAGGACATCACATTGGACCTCAGGCGATTGAGGTGAGTTGTTTTTTATTTTTGGGCTTTTTGTGCCTTTAATGTAGAGATAGGACAGTGGATAGAGTTTGAAATCTGGGGAGAGAGAGAGAGGGGATTGACATGCGGGAAAGGAGCCACAGGTCGGATTTGAACCTGGGCCGCCCGCTTTGAGGACTATAGCCTTCATACATGGGGCGCGCGCACTAACCACTGCGCCACCAGCACCCCTGAGGTGAGTTGTTTTTTGATAAATGCCATTTTCTTTTTGGAAAGACTGGTTGAATTATCTTAAAAATATACAGCTGTTTAAACTATTAGCCACAGTTCACTCACCACCAATGGGTGTAATGTCCTGCTGTCCAATCATCTGCTCCACTGTCACAGGCCTCATGACCAGGTGTGAGCACTGCATGACCAGCCCGCGCTCCTTGTGTTCCCGGGCGTGCAGCAGCAGGCTGCACTTGTTAAAGAAGGCCAGCCTCTTAGCACAGTGGTTGCAGGTTACTTCAATGCGGAGTGATCGTCTGTCGTAGTGTCGAGCCAGGCTGCGCTCCAGAGCAAAGGCATCTCCGCACTCCAGGCAGCGGTACCCTGTGGATGGGAGCGGGAGGCCCCACTCAGGAGGCGGAGGAGCTGAGAGGTCCGGCTTGTAGCTCGGTAGAAGGTTTTTACTGTTCAGGATTTTGTTAAAGGCCTCGACCAGGCTGGACTGACTGCGGGAGATGACGGCGCCTGTGCTGTTGACGATGGAGGCCGGTTTGTTTTGCTGGAGGGCGCCGCCTATGATGGTGCTGCTTCCTCCGTTAGCTGTCTTATTAGTGGCTGTACGTACACTGATGCCACCGGCAGCGACAGAGAACTTGGGAGAGGATGACACAGTGGGAGTTGCAGGCAGGGCGGCAGACTTAGTGATGCTGACGGCAGTGGCAGAAACCTTGGTCTTGTCTGATGCAGCCATCTTGTTCTGGACCTTTGTGGCGGCAGCTAGCATGACGCTGCTGGCTGCGAGAGTAGACACAGGCAGAGCGTTGAGAGCACTCACTTTCTGGGAAGTTGTTGTCAAACCAGAGGAAGAGTCAGCTTTTTGGGCCTTGTTTCCTAAAACCTTACGCTCCCCAGTTTGGGATTTAGAGTCCAACCCTTTCCCTGCTGCGCCACCTTTAGGTGCTACTCTTGTGACAGTTCTGGTGATTCCGCCCGTGGAGGTTTTTATTGTTTTGATTCTGACTTTTAGGGGTCGGGATGGAGCTCCGGCAGCAGCAGGCGCAGCACCACCTGTTTCTCCTCCATCAGTCACCGGTGCTTTTTGCTTTCCATTATCTACTTCCATTTTCTCCTCACTTGCTTTTGCATTTTCTCCCTTGTCAGATTTGCTATCAGCCACCTTCTCAATCCCATTCCCAACCTCCATCTCCTCCTCCTCCTCTTTGGGCTCCCGAAGTTCAGCCAGAGGTGGAGTGGAGGCCACCGCAGGGCTGGAGGACCTCTTAGAAGCAACTTGAGCAGTTGATTTTGGCATCTCTGGTTCAGGACTCTCTGGTGAGTCTCTCTCCTCTATGACATGTTCTGGATGCCGGTCCTCCAGCTGGGGATTCTCTATTGAGCTTGACTGGGGTGTTGATGAAGTCTGAGACGCCCCTGAAGGAGTGTCCCCAAGTTTAGGGTGAGATGCAGTCGAGGACGTGGGCTGGGCTGAGACGGAGTCGGACTTGTAACGTCGGCTCAGCTGAGTGCAAGTCGGGGAGTCAGGGTTCTCTTGGATCACCAGTGGACTCCCCAAGTCAGGGTCAGAATCCTCCTCCTCCATCTGCTGATGCTGAAACCCAGCAGGGCCGCTTTTAGAGGCTCCGTTAAACGGCTGAGACGAGTGCAGCGGGTGTGCTGCAGGTGCAGAAGGTGGAGTTGGAAGCAGAGGCTTGGAAGGTGGAAAGAAAGGCGAGGCTAGTCCAACGGGTCCACCTGTAGCCAAAGGAGACGAGCCAGCTGAGAGAGAAGACGATGAAGGTAATGATGCATTGACCCCGTCAGCCCTCTCCTGGCCTGAATCCTGCTGTTGCTGGTGTTGCTGCTGGAGAAGCTGCATCTTCCTGGCCCGGCCCACTGGATCTCCTGACCCCTGTGCTACAAGCGGTTTAAGTCTGTTGAAAATGTTTCCACCCTGTTTGTGAGACTTTGCTGCACCAGAACCTGCTGCCTCTGAAGAAACTTTAGGGGTGTTCATTGACCAGGGTGCCCCGTTAGACTGGGTCTGGCTGAGGGGAAGGGGTGTGGAGGCACCAGATGCCCCAAAACCGTTGTGGTTGAGAGCCTCAGATTCAGCAATCCCAGGGGCACATGCACCCAGTCTAGGACCCACGTCGACCCCTGTGATTACATCAATAGGGTCCTGGTCCGCGTCTCCTTCTCCTCCATCTGAAGGCTCGAGGCGTACTTTATTTTTCACAATCACACTAACAATAGAGGTGTCAGACTGGGGGTCTGACGGGCTCGGTGGTCTCAAGGATGATCCCACCACGCTGTCTGTCTTTCCCAGAGGTGGCCCTGCCGCTCCATGGGGTCCCTCTGCCTCATCCGGGGCAGACTGGATGGCCTCTTTGGCATCTATGTCAGGTATGTCAAATGCTGCCAACAGGTCATCGAAATCTGGGGTCTTC